TTCAGCCTCGTTCTGGGCGGGGTTGTTGTAGCTATGATAACTACAACAAGTATTTGGAGCTTTGATTTCCTATCATACTACTTCCCAAAACCAAAGTTAAACCATTTCTTACGCTTTAAAGGAGCGTTCGCTTTAGGTATACTGATTGATGGCAAGCATAAGAGCGTCTAGGAATGTTGTTAAACTATGCTCCGTAGGTACATTGAAAAAATTCCTGTAAAAAAGCCTAATAAGGGTATTTATCACACCTTTTATTATTAGGTGCAATCCCGTATTCCTCGGACTCGGACTAGTAAAACTGTCAAAAAATAAAAATTCGCTCAGAGCGGGAGAGTAACATTGAAAAGTACGGGATCGATTTCTAGTAAAAATGGTAACTTCTGTCAACTTCAACATAACCTCCAAAATTTGGTTGTAAATTTTTGCTTATTTTGTATGTAAACACACTCAGCTCACACATGTAAATACTTTCAAATTCTTTAGAATCCACTTAAACAAGTAATTAAATAATTTTCAACATGAATTAGCAGAGTGCACTTTTCTTTTGTTTGCAATTTGGTTGCCAAACACACTACAGCTGATCGTTTGACACATTTACCAGAATTTACCAGCAAAAAATTCTCGGACTAAAACTGGTAACTTCTGACAGAAAGAGAACCGTATTTACTCTCTTTTTTGTTCTCTCAATAGTCAGAGAACCGCATACGAGATCGATTTCCAGTCAAATCTGACTGATTCTGACTAGTACGGACTCGTACGGGATCGCAGCTATTATTATAAGTCAACTGTCAAAATTTGTATGGAAACTCATTTACAAATTTCTGATAAATTTCGCTAACGATTTCACAGAGCAATCTTGATAAACTGAAGCCAACGCAACTCTGTTGCAGTGTAAACGAAAAGAGAGTATGGGGCGTTCATGAAACAGATATTAGGAGTATACTCGTACGCCCAACTATCTAAAGTTTTAGAAAACTTTTACTGGTTTTGCGTTCTCGTACCCAAAAAACTTGCAAAGTAGGGGAAATTGAGAGAGCAAAATGTGAAAGAGAGCTGCAAATTTCTGCTGCAAAAATTTTTCCCAGCTGAAACTTGCAAGTAAGAAAATCAGCTGATCACAAACACATGTTTGTAAATAAACAAAAGAAAATATGGCCTTTTTGAGTTATTTATTGCAAATTTTATTATTATTGCTAATATATAACGAAAAAGTGAGCAAATTCAATAAGCACAAGGTTAATATACTATTAATCTCCAGATTGTTTACTTTAGTGTGTGCTGACTATGGTTGCCGTATGACATATTTCGTTTGTACCATAATTTACCTTTAAATATATCAAAATAGATTTAAATGCAGCATGCTAAATGTTTTTTTGCTGAAGTTTTCGGTTTTGGTAGGTTGGTTGTTGAAATGAAAATTTTATAATTTTAAAGCTACATCTGTAGCTATATCTATTACATTTTTTTGGATCAATGATGGGTGTTTCGAGGAGATGCCCTTGTTTTTGAGTGAATCACCATGTGATATCACAAATAATTATGAGAAAAATAACTTAATCATTTCGATATAATTAATTTGTATTTTAAATAGGTTTTTCTTATCCAAAACTATTCAATTGTATAAAATGCCAGATCGGTGAAAATGTACCGAGCAGAAAATAAATTGCCAAATTAATCACCAGTGGCAACTGTGCAAGTGATCAGCTGTTTCGAAGGTTGTAAGTTTTTGCAAATTTTGCGTTCTCGCACTTCTGTTGATATTTCGTCTCTTTGAGAGCGAAAGGTGCTAAATTCTCAGAACTTTTGCTGATGGAGAATTTTGCCCTCTCAATACGAGTACACACCTATTAACTTAAATATCGGTACTGAAACGCTGTTGTATAAGTATAGCATTTTACTTTGAAATGCAGAAAATTATCTTTGACACATATTAACAGATGGCAATCGAAATTTCAATTACGTTTGGTCGAAGGCGAAAATTTAAAAATAGCTCTTTACGCTGTAGTTTTTACGGAAATTGGCATTAATGAAATAAAAGTATTCGTTTAACTTACGCGGTTTGATCTTATTTGATAAAGACCAATTATTATTTATTTTTATTGTTCACCCTATGAATCACGAAAATTCCTGGAATTAACATTTTTCGCATACCGAAATCCCGGGAATGTTAAAATGCTTCGGGATTGAATGTAACAGTCTTAAAAACTTTGGTAAATTGCCCCACTTTTCCGTTTATCAGTTTCTATTTTCTTACATCGAATAATACGTCTCACTTGTTTTCTCAACTGCCGGTAGCGCTTCTATATTTACATACTGCATACCTACATTACTCCTTATGTTCGAAATTTGTTCGCCTTCTCTCTGAGCCACAGGCTTTTGTGCTCAAACGAATCTTTTAACGAAAGATTCGTTACTAAAAACCTATTTCACCAACAAACTTCTAAAAATCAAACACTTATTTCCTTCAAATGCATTGCGAAATCTATCGAAGTATTATGTTCACTTTTATTAGTCCAATTTGTTTGTTGTTATAAATACATGTATATTTGCAAATATAATTAGGTCTTAGTAAAACATTAACTTCCACAATTTGTTTATATCGATTGCATAGTATTTGTTTTTATCTACCCAATATAAAACACCGCACAATTTACATATTTCTATGTGCAAATGTTTGCATTAAGTATTCAACTAAATTTCTTTTATTAAATAACGACCTATCTTGTTTTTGGTTTTATTTTGTAGAAAAATTTCGCATGAAATTCAAAAGCTTGGACAGTTTCTTTAGCTTGTCATTATATCGAGCCCTAGCACGCTAAAAAAACGTAAGCGACATTCAAAAAAATTGTTTTATTTATGCAGATATGCATCTAGATGCACTAGGTGCATTTCTGAAAAAAAACACAAAGTTCTGAAAAAAATTTCGCTTATACTTTTTTGGCGGTTAGTGTCCGATATGTTTGTATGTAACGTAGTACAGCTTAGAAATATAATACAAAAATATATGTTTATAGTATGTACGCAATTACTTGAGTATTATCGAAATATTTCGAAGTTTACTTATAAAGGAGTGGAATATTATTTTTCGAGTTGAAGCACACTTTAAAGCAATATCAAAATCTGCTAATGCAAAATTGGGATTTCTAAAGGGGTTCAAGGTAATGAAGGCTACGTGTTTAATTTTGCAAATAAATTGCGTAAAGTTTTTATTTTGTATTATAAAAAATTTGGTTTGAACCAATGTACATACGGTGTTTCTACTTGAATTGCAAAAAGGCAGTTTATATTTAATGCTTTTTTTTGGTTTGTTTTATATGTATTTGGAAATATTGAGTAGGAGCGTTTAAAAATGGAATGTAAATTTTTTTTATGGTTTTTTTTGTTGGTTACTTTTTTTGCTTGATGATCGCATTCAATTACGTTTAGTCCATGCTCTATGGGAATTGCCATAAGATTTATGTTTGTGAAAATTTCTGCTTATTTTTAATAACTCTCTGCAGGACTGCTATTGTGGGTTCTCATTACAAATGCTTCAAAATATCTAGTAGTTATTCAGCTCGGCATACTCCAACTCTTGTGCAATTGTTTTGTACTTTTCCAGGCCTTTGCTGACTTCGGCTGTGAATTTTGCACGCGGAGAAGGAAGGCATGTAAGAGACAGAGAAAATTTTTAGTGATATTGAAATACAAAATTGTATTTAAATTTTTACAATTTTTTACCTGACAAAAACCAATATAAAATTTAAAAGATAAACAAAATAGTTTTTTATTCAACATTTATCTGCTGTTGGAAATAATATTTATTTTATATACTCTTCAAATGTTTCTTACACGAGCGTGCATAGGTGTTACTACATACAAGTAAGTACATATAAATGTATACGAATATTTAGTAGTAAAGCAATAATGTAGTGAAATGAAAAATATGCAAATAGTTAAACTAAATAAATACAAATACACAATTAAATATTTGGTTTTCTCTTTATCTTGGTTAACATCATCAATGAGCTTTACATACAACTAGCCAAAGGCAACTATTTACATACATACAGCTACGAGCGTTCAAATATAATACAAATCAAAACTGTAAACTTCAGCAAGCCAAGTGACAAATATTCGATTCGTGTGTCACTAATCCGGCTAGACTATTAAAGTCAGATGTATTATAAACACGCAGAAGAAATGGAATTGTTTCGCGTTTAAGAACTTTGATTGTTGCCGTTGCTGCTGCTGACTTCGCCACGGCACTGGTTGTTGTAGAGCTTGTGTTGTTGCGGTGGTAAAATTTGTGAACTCTATTCCTTGAGAATGAGTTCGACGAAGGCGGTGTCGAGATCGTCTCCAATATCCTTGTAACGTTCCTTCTCCAAGACAAGGTCGTCTAATGAATTTAGGTGGGTAGAAAAAAATTAAACAAAATAATTAAAATTTAATTGAAAAAAGTTAAAAAAAACATTTATCAAAAGTATACATATAAAAATAACATTTACACATGNAATTAAACAAAATAATTAAAATTTAATTGAAAAAAGGTAAAAAAAAACATTTATCAAAAGTATACATATAAAAATAACATTTACACATGTACGCACTTATATATTATGTAAACTTCACATATTTTCGACTAAACAATTAGACTTAAATAAAGAAAAGAAAATACATAAATATACATATTACGATACAATGGAGATTTGTGAGGAAATCTTTATTAAAACATTATTCCGAACAGAGAATTTTTTTACAATATTGATAGTTTCATAAAAAATCGTTAACTTTTCATAAAAATTTTGTAGCAACTTTAAACCAGCAGATTATACTTAAATTGGATGGACTATAAAAATGTTATACCAATGAATTTCTCTCTCTGACTACTCTCTCTGACAAAAAAGATTTAATTTTGCTTAAAATTTTTCACATTTTAGCCGAAGGTTAAACAATTTTTAAATAGAATGAACCATATTTTTTTAACATGAAATTGTAAACAAAAATTTCTATACGGAGTCTGTTTCTAGAGGGTGTAGTGAGTGTTAGTTTCTGGAAATCATATTAAATAATAAATTCGAAGGTTCAAGAATAAATATAATTAAGTTAATTTATTTCGAGTCAAAAGAAAAAAATTGCATTTTACTTAATACGATTTTTCTCAGAAATCCATTGTTTCGTCTTAAAAATAAATCAATCATAGTGTTCGACAACAGATAAAAATTAAATTGTATTCACGTAATGCAAAACAAAATTAAAAGCACAAAAACAAAAAATAAAATAAATTAATTAAAAATAAAGTTTACCTTTTCTTGCTTCATTAGACGGCGGAAGGTTCAAAAGCGGCTTCATACATTCGCATTGGCTTCTTGTCGTTGTTAGTGCAGCAGCCGTGTCGCTTTGCGGTTTATTATTTAAAGAGCGTTTGTTTTCTCATAAAAAGCAAATACAAAATAAGCTGGCAAGCTGCTGTTAGCGAAAAGTAAAAAAAAAAAAAACTTCCTCACAATACAGCCGCCGCCAATAGGCAGGCAATTTATTTCCGAATAGCATTTTTAATTTTTTATAGATTTTTTATTTTCAATATTAAATAAAGAGGAAAATAAACATAACAAATGCACTGGTTTAAATTAAATAGGTTTTAAAACAATAGGGCTGTTCACGGTTGCCATGGTTCAAGACTATTTCCACAATATCCTGAACAGCCCTACTATATTTTACTGTGGATCCTCTAAACTAAACGTGTTCATGCAAACAACTAAATAAAACTGGCAGCTTTCATAGCGGCTGTGTTTATTGCCTATGCGCGTATGTGATTGTCGCGCCCTAAGAAGAGGTTGTCTTTGCACTCCAGGTGCTGGCATATTAATTTTTTACATAAATTTTACTTTTTTGAGACAGCGATTCACCACCTAAATTAAGCTGTTGGCGCGGGGTCTGGGGCAGCCTCTGCAGCTGGAGCAGCCTCTGCGGCGGCAGGTGCGGCTTCGGTAGCTGGAGCAGCCTCTGCGGCAGCAGCTGGTGGTGCAGCCGCTTCCGGAGCAGGCGCCGGTGTGCCAGCTTCTGCTGGTGGAGCCGCGGCTGCCTCTGCGGGTGCACCTTCGGCTGGTGCTGCTGCGGCAGCTGGAGCACCTTCTGCAGGTGCGGCAGCAGCCGGAGCTCCCTCAGCCGGCGGGGCAGCTGCTGGTGCGCCTTCCGCTGGCGGTGCGCCTTCAGCTGGTGCTGCAGCTTCGCCTTCTGCTGGTTCCGCGCCAGGTGGTGGTCCTTCGTAGTTCTTGACGAATGGCACCTCAGCGCCCTCTGGTGGCAAATCAATGGAGTACTCAAATGGTGGTGGTGGCGGCGGTGGTGGTGTTGGTTCCTTGACTGGCTCAGGCTCGGCGGCCGCGGCCGCAGCTTCGCCTGGTGGTGCGCCTGAAGGTCTTCTGACGACAGCCTCTCCACCCTCAGCTGCGGCAGCTTCTGCTGCTGCCGCTGCTTCAGCCTCTGCTGCCGCTGCTGCTTCCGCCTCAGCTTTGGCAGCTTCTGCAGCGGCAATTTCCTCAGGAGTGGGCGTTGGCAATTTCGGTGTTGGCGGTTTGGGATTGCGTGGCGTCCAGAATGGTTCAAGTCCGGGTATCAGATCCAGGAAGGCCAGGTCAAGACTGTCGCCAATAAGGCAATAACGTTCCTTCTCAACAATAATATCATCTTATTTTTTTTCAGGATCAAACGTTTTCAAGTGTTATTGATGCATTATCGACGTGGTTTTTAATTTTGTGATTAGAGATGGCATGATGGTTTGATGAGCCAAAATGCAAGAAGATAGCAAGGACATGCGAGCAGTAAGAAGATCAAAAAATATAAAATGCAAATTAATCAGAAATAAAGTGTATAGCAAAACTTAAATTAGAGCCAATTTAAAATATATGAATGTTAAAATATAATCAATAAGGGTTTAACAGAATGAAGGGTTGGTTGCACTTTTTTTTTTGGCTGGTTACTAGTAGGAATCTTTTTTGTTAGACAGGCAAATGGGAATACGCGACATTTAAACACACACAAGTGCAGCAGACCATTCCAGGCAACATATCAGAAATCGTCGAGCATGTTTCGTATCCGAGCCGAATTGAAATTGATACGAGTTAATACATTTTTGGCATCCAAATTTATTTTGTTTTTAAGAAGTCGCAGTTAATCACAGTATTCTATTTTATATAAATAACTCGTCCAGCTTTGTTTAGTCATCCCAGAAAACCTTAAGCGGGTGGCGCTTCGGCAGGAACATCAGCAGGAGGGGCGGGTGCCGCCTCTGCAGGCGCAGCAGCTGGTGCATCAGCAGGAGCACTGTCTGCAGCAGGGGCCGCCTCAGCTGCTGGCGCTGGAATGCCTTCGGCCGCAGGAGCAGCGCCCTCTGCTGGCGGTGGTGCTGGTGCTCCTTCGGCTGGTGGGACACCCTCGACAGCTGGAGCAGGCGCGCCTTCAGCCGGTGCAGCACCTTCTACAGCTGGGGCACCTTCAGCTGGTGCCGCGCCCTCCTCCGTTGGTGGTGGCACAGTGCTGGGGTCGAAGTTCTTTACGTATGGCACTTCAGCGCCCTCTGGTGGCAGATCGATGGCATATTCGAATGGTGGTGGCGGTGGTGGTGGAGGTGTAGGTTCCTTTACTACTGGCTCAACGGCAGCCTCAGCTTCAGCACCTTCAGAAGCACCTTCACCGGCTGTTGGTGCTCCTTCAGCAGCTGGTGAGCCACCCTCAACCGTTTCACCACGTTCGGCCGCTTCAGCAGCTGCTTGGGCCGCCGCTTCTGCTTCAGCAGCTGCAGCCTCGGCTGCAGCAATTTCTTCAGGTGTTGGTGTAGGTACCCGGGGTTTGGGATTACGATCGGTGTAGAACGGTTCCATGCCCATTAGATCAACGAAGGCCAAATCCAGGCTGTCACCTATCATTGCATAGTGCTCCTTCTCAATAATCATTTCATCTGGTGAATGTTGGTAGGCGGCGCAAACGCGTTCATGGGCAGTTATGCGTTTATGTATACCATTGAATGGTTGTAGGGTTGGTTGGTTGGTCGGTAGGTTGGTTGGTTGACAGGTTGGTTGTACGGATTTATTGTGGTTAAGTAGGCGGTTATCAGTAAAATAAACAAAGCGGCGAACGTGGGGCAAGATGAATAAAATCAAATAAAAAGAAGCGAAATTAAAATTAAGTCTATATAGTAACCCTTTAAGTGATATTTTTATAATGCACTGCTGATCTTGATGAATATACTGTAGCTGTGAATAGTTGAGATGCTGAGTTCAAAATTGTTTGTAACACAAATTGGGCGGGGCAACAGCGACACGACACGATAGCGTATTTCGTTTAATAGTAAAGAACTTAAGTAGCATAAATACGTACATACATTTACTAAATTACTATCACATAGCAAAACAGGCTAATTTTCAGGAGACGTTTATAGTTTTAAATTCATTTAATCGTGCAGAAAACGGGGAAAAATCATATTTTATGCCAGTGCGGAAACTGCACAAGGTTTTACCATGGTATCGTTGCCTCAGAGACAGTATTTTAGAAAAGGATCGATATGTTATTACTACATACTACATACATATTGTTGCAGTTTATTAAAACAACTTAAGTGATTTTAGAATGTCTGACTTTGAATTAAAGAATAATAAGTTTCAATTGAATTGTATATATTTATGAAGCTTCTATTAAAAGGGCTTCTTGGTTGGTAACCCAATATTGCTTTAAGGCAGAGGTTCCCAAACTTTTTTTCTCGTAGACCCCTCTCAAAAATTTTCTGGTTTCGGTGGACCCCCTGCTGATAGATTTCTAAATATTCACAAAGCTCGTAAAAAAATTAAATATGAAAATGTGAAAATTAGATCGCGGGTGAATTCATAAACTAAAATCAGAGTGGCCAAAATAAAAGTAAAATATTTTCTATTTATAAAAAGAATGTGATTACACAAATGTAAGTTTTAAAAAATAGAGCTCGTAAATACTTCAAATACTCTCTCGCTCGGAAGAGTTATATTTTTTTAAGAGCACTGCACTGCATTATCTTCACCATAAACTCATCAAATGTTCGGCCCACTCATGACTTTACACGTTGAGTATATGTATAATAGTTTATTTGTGTTAATGGCATCATTTTTATTTTTATCGCTCCGAGTTTTAAAGTGAGGCAAAAAATATTTATCACATTTTTAAAACACAAAACTTTTAATTAAGAAACTGACAATAGAGAAAAGAGCGAGTTTAAAATAATGATGACAAATAACCAAGCAACCAAGAAGCACAAACAGTGTTCTACCGTTTCATCTTCTTCAAGGCAAGATGGGCAAATGGACTTGTCATTTACGCCTATCACAGTCAGGTGTTTGTGTCACGTGAAGTGACCAGTCAGCAGTCCAGCAAGTTGTCTGCAGTGTCGTCTGCTCATTGAGAGCAAAAAATTAGATACACCTTGTGAGATTGAAGGCAACATGAGTTTTGCCCGCCTCGATGCCTCTGTCATTTCTGAGCGAAATATTCACCGTTTCTGATGGTGGCTTCGATTGCCGAAGGTGGGACTGCTAAAACTGGTTGCGGACCGAGGAATGCCTGGTCGGAGCAAACTCTGGCCAAATGATCAGATGTCTCATAACGAGGTAGTCCAGAGTGACCTGGCACCCAGAGTAAAACAATCTCGCTATGTTCACCATCACATTTTAGTCGAGCCTTGCATTGCCGAACTAGTTTGGAAGTACTTAAATAGGGGGCTGGTCAATGCCTTAAGTGCAGCTTGGTTGTCACGTAAACTCCTTCGCATCCACTTATGTTCCACCACGTAGTTCATGGCTTTGAGTATTGCAATTACCTCAGCCTAGAAGACTGAAGCATATTCCCCTACAGAAAAGCGAAGCTTATCTCCATTAACCTCGAAAAAGACCCCAAATCATGACCCAGAATCAGTTTTGGAGCCATCAGTGAAGATTCGACAATATGTGAGTCTGGTCTAAGCGATGGAATCAAACCAGAATTCAGTATCGGGAACTCAACATTATAGAATCTCTTCAACAAAGGTAATGGTGGCATAATATCTTGTAGCAAGACACAAGTGCTTAAATCTCTGCCGCCAGCAATTTTCGCCACTCATTGTCATACCAGCATCCGGTTCTTTTTAGTCTGCAGGTGGCCTTTAAGGCTTCCCCACGTATGAAAATACAAAGTGCCGTAAGTGCAGCAGTGCGCCAAGAGCACTATACACCATTCAAAAAAATTAAATTTAAATAAGAGGCTATCAAGCAAACATTTTGGTTATTTACATCGAAACCAGATAAATTTTCGTGGACCCCCATTTACAACTAATGAACCCTCATATTTTGTTCACGTCACCGTGGAACCCCGTCGAGTGTGCCGTGGACCCCTGGGGGTCCACCTGGTCCACTTTGGGAATCACTGCTTTAAGGGGAGAATTGCATATCTCGTGATTAGCTGTTTTAATAAAATGCCGTGTATATTTTTTCACACGCTTGGTAGTCAAAATACTTGTGTTAGTTTATTTTTGGAAAAATACTTTATTTGTGCAAATTGCAGCTGAATCATATGTAAATGTATTTATATGTAAAAATATAAATAATAATTTGCCTTCGCAGTTAATTGATTTTACGTAAATAAACTGAATGCAAAATTGCATACATTATTTCGTATGTGTTTCTAAATTTACTGCAGGCTAAGAATTGAGTTTTATTTTATTTTTTATTTGTTTTTTTGTTGTGGAACAACAGCAATCTTTAATCTTTTAGGGTTTTTTTTTATAATTTGTAACTATTTTTATTGTCGTTCTATAAATGTTTTCTGCGTGTGGGAAGTAGGAAGCGAAATTGGAAGGAGACAGGATAGTGGGACTAAAGGCATTAGGAAAATACTTAAAAATTAAACACAGATATTACACAAAAATTCTAGAAATTCTCGTTTTATGTCCTTTTGTCTCTGCTGTCTTTTCATTTACAATAATCAAATATTTATTAATACATAGAAATAGGTAGCATTTTGTCTTTCTTCGTTTTAGGTATCAAACAGAAAATTACATACAAGCGCACAAGGTTCAAAAAATAAAATAATATTTTTATTAAATTAAAGTTATAAATTAGTGTCTTCGTATTCAGCGTAATAATGCTTTTGTTGCAAATGTCTTATTAGTGCATATACTTTTTAATTTAAATGTTTTAAATAGTGTAATTTATTAGCAACAGGCGCAACAAACACGATTAAAATAAAACAAAATAAATTATTAAACTTGAAACAAAAAAATTTAAACAAAAAGTTTATATTGCAAAAGGACAATTTGATTATTGATTATTGAAGTCAAGAAAAAATTTATATTTACTCTTACTTGCTTTTTATACTGGCAAATCTTAACATTTCTCGCTTAAATTTGCATAAGCTAATTTAATTTCGTAATATTTTTTAATTTCAGCACACTTTGTAGTGAAAAGTTATACTCTAAAAAAATGTTTGTATAAAATGGAATATTTTGCTCAATAATTGGAATGTTCGAAAATGCATAAGTGTAGAGTTGCAACGTGAATACTTTTTCTACATTTTTTTTTAATGTTTACAATTAGTATTTTTCAGGAATGCAACTTAGAATTTAAATTTAAAAATGCTATATAGAGAAATAGATTTTTTGTTTGTTAGTTAAAAAATCATGATTTTTGTTTTGCAATTTATTATTTTATCTGCTTCTATCAATCATTTTGCTGTTGCTGTTGTTGCTCTACTACAAGTAGTTTATGTTACGCTGCACGATTCGCTTTGCAACAAAATGCTTTAAATAAATTTAATTATTATTGTTTTTTTTAACATTATGGAAGGATGCCCACTCCGCCGACTCGATATCATTTAAAAGGCCCGCTGAAGGCACCTCCATTCGTGGTGTGTTAGGCAGCAAAGACACTCATTCATGTACATACATAAATATGTATGTATGTACGCACATATGTATTCTTGCATACATTTGTTTTTCTTACGATGTTGTTGCAGTTTTTGTAATAGTTGTTGTTTAATGCAGTTGTTTCTTAATATTTTTTTCACTGTAATCGTAGTTAAATAAGAGTGTATGTAAGTTATAATGCTTGCATGTATGTATGTATGTATGTATATACGTATGTATGTTTTGTATACATGGATATGTAGGAGGAGGCCACAATGGAGCGAGTGGGAGTGGCAGTGGCGTTGATGTAGCAAATTATATTCACATATTTTGAATATCATGCAGAGTGGCTTCCATTTCTTCCTGCAGCAGTTTGTTCTTATTGCGTTCGTTCATAAGATCATCTGAGCAGTTGTTTTTGGTGGATGTTGTTTGTTTGTTCACATATTTTGAGTGTTTTTTTTTTTTGATACAATAAGTTTTACATGGTTTCAGTACATAAACAAATCAAAAAAATAAATAACAATAAATAAATAAAAAATAACGTATTGTTAATATTTAAAAGTTAACAAGAACAAAGATAGTAAAATAAAAAATATAATTATTTTTTAAACACAATAATTTCGTTCAAACACAAAATTTGTTTGTATTAAGTTGTTTTTTTTTTTTGTTTAGCAGTCAATAGGCGGAGCAGGTAGGCGAGCGAGCAGGAAAGCACATAACATGAAAGAATAAATTAATTGGTATAAATAAAGAACCAAAAAATTAAAAGACGGTGTACAAAATTATGTTGCACAATCAAAATTTGAATCAAAATACATAAAATAAAATATTAAATTTATGGTTTTAATCATAGATTTGATGTTATATAAATAAATAAATAAATAAATAAATACAAATAAATAAATAAATACAAGAAAATAAATTTAATGAAATAACACTATTTATGACAGTATTAAACTAGTCGACGATAGTTATTTTTAAAATAAGCATTCAATTACTTTTATAAAAGATTTTCTCCACTAGCAAATCTCATTAACGGATAATTGTTACAATTTCTAGTAACTACTAGCGTTTCAACGCATTTCGCGTCTTCCTTATGTTATATAATTTAGCGTTATTAATGGATTTTAAAGTAAGAAAGTTGAGGTTTACGACTGCAGAGTAAAATATAAATTCAAATCTTTAATTTAGGTGAGATTAAAGTCTAAATTTTAAGTCATTACAAAATTGCATTTTTTTATAAATTTTTGCAGATTAACTTTTGGGTAATTTGAACTTTTTAGGAACTTTAAAACAGTCAGATTAAATATAATAAAAATTTCATGAGCTCAAAAAAGTATGTTAATGCCAGTTTCTTCTAAAAACAAACGTCTAATGTCAAATTTTCACTAGGTAAATACGAGGTGGACACTATTTCCATTAAAGTAATGACACGGGTATTATTGAATTCCCAATTTTGTCATTGCAATTTTTGTAATTTAATGCCCAGTGACAAAAGTGAAACAATTAAACCATACATTGGAAAACACAAACAATCGGGTAAATGCAAGTGTTTCGAAAATGAAGAAAACTGTACTTAATGAATGTAACTAAAAGATAAGCTTACAACACCTAAGCTAATACTAGATACATACATATCGTCACCTGAATTGCAAAAATCTCGCCGAAATGTAAAAGGTCGTAAAACTTAAAATTTCACTTTTTGATTGTTATGAATAATTATTAAATAGTCACGACTTCGGATTTCTATTTTTATTTTTATATTTTTATGTATAACTTTGGATCACGTTAACCGATTTCTATAATTTTTTTTTAAAAGAAAAGGAGGGGTGTAACCTCACAGGTAGTCCCATACTAATTTGGTTTAAAATCGATCATTGGGTCATGAAGAAATTAACGATCATCTGATATTTTTATATGAGATTTGAAGTCGGTTGTTGTTGTTGTAGCAGCATACAAATTCCCCAAAGACTTTTTGGGGAGGGTTGCTGGAGTGACAGTCCTTGGCCAGATATAAATCTGGGTCGTTCCGGTTACGTAGACCCGACTGTCGTGGGAATGTTTGTTGCTTAAAAATTACTTGTTGCATTTCAGATGACGATATGCATGTACATGGAAATTAAAAAGTGTTATTTGAACAGCAAAAACTTGCTCAAATGCATAAGTATGTAGTATATATATTTACTAAAGTTTAAAATTCAAAATTTGTACATATTTTTATATACATGGTACTCATACTATTAAAACTAATTACTGTCAACTATTTTATTTTTTACTACACTGATACTTTAAGTTTAAATATGTAATAGAAAATGAAATAGGTCTTTAATGGACATACCTTCGAGCCTGTCGACTTCCTTCTGCAACTTTTGAACGGAACGTTCAGCGAATTCAGCACGGGCTTCAGCCTGGTTGTTTTTATTGATGATTTTCGCATATAGTAGAGTTGCAGTTTTTTTTTTTTTATGGGGAAAACGGGAAATAAAAATGTATTAGTTTATGCATAGATAAAAGTTGGCATTTGTACAAAAACCATTTTTCATAAGTTAAATTATGGGAATCCAGTAAAAAATGGACAGACATAATGACGAGAATATAAAATAAAGTTTATCAATACATATATGTACATACATACATATTTAAAGATGTTTTGTCTTTTAATTTATTCTTTAGTTACAAGGCACAAAGCTAGAATTTTTGATTATAATATTTATTGTTATTAAATTTTGCAGTTTTTTTTTACATTTTCGTCATTATATCTTCTTTGGGGATTTCAATTCTTTTCTGGGGATTGAAAAAGCTTCTCAAATACTACCAAAACCAGCGTTAATTTGTAAGAATATTTTCTCGAAAATGTTTTCTGCGTAAAACACTCGTCTTTTTGGGTATTTTCGGTTAACAGTTATTTACTAAATTATTTATGGAATAAAATTAAATGTTAATTGTGTTAAAAGATATGCAGATACGTTGTTAGTGGTGTTATTTTTTCAAAATCTATATGACTTTGATAAACAAAAAAATGGTACAACTAAAAATTTATTTCAAAATTCAATTAATTGAAATTAGTGAGTAGAATCAACAGCTATTCAATTAGTTCCCAATAATTAGTATTTTTTAGTTTAAAGATTTGCTGTAAACTAGATAAACAAATTATGTGGCTACACTACCTACTACATACACACATATGTACATACATTTTAGAAGTACATATGTACCGCTAAGTGGGGGCATAAGTGTAGTACCAACTTTAAAGCTTTAATTGCCTTATATGTTGTCCAATTTGATTTGTTTTAGACTAAACAGAAGTCAGCATATTATTAAAAAAAACTCTTTTGGTTAAATTGCCAACTACAGTTGCTACAAAATTTTTTTTTCGCCAACAGCAGCAGCAGCTACGATGGAAATAAACTGTGGTTTGCATTGGTTTATCAGAAAACAAGAAAAAATGTAAGTAGCTTCGACGAGGCAAGTCCAACTTACAGTTTCTAAATTAATTTTCATTTGAAAAATCTCCTGTTCGCTTTCTTTTTGCGCTGCACGAGCCTTAATATGCACGAATAAGAGCAGAAAAACAAGGCGTTGGAGAAACGGCGATGCACACAACACAAGAGAAAAATATATCAATGATTTATTTTTTTTTTTTTTATAAAATCGTATACCATAAATTTTATTTCGTTTTATGATCTGCCAAATTGAGTACACAAAGTAATAAAATATCTACCGAAGAACTGATATTTTTGATCATTGCACAAAACAAAAAAAAAAACGTTTTTAAATAAAGCTTAGGAAAACTATCAAAACATAAAAAACAATTTTTAAGTATTAAAGATATTAAATTCTATGTAAAAAGGTGTAACAAAATATGTATTTATGTGAATACTGCTGTCAAGAAATAAACTAGAGGGATTGCTACAAAAAATATATTTATAAGCTACGGCAAAAAGTTATTCATACACATATTTTACACAACACAATCGCGTTACAGCGCCTACCAGTAGGCAATGATTTCGCGCACAGTGCTGCGGAAAATTTGTTTCAATTATTATTATGATACTTTTACTTTTTTTGAAAGATCTTTCACCGCTATTGGCAATCAATGCACAAAAAGTTGTTTTCAATTTTATGCAAGTGTACATTTGTGGGCTTAAAATTTTACCAAAGATATTAAAAAAATATATATGTACCTATATATAAAAATATCAGTTTGTGTGGTCGTCTGGCGCAGCGTGAAAATGTGAAAGAATTCTGTTTTTTTTTTCGAATTACCGCACTCTACTGTTTCAACTGGTGTTTGCGGCATATGCTTGCTTCCACCTAGTTTAATTACAGGTTTTTTCTTTAATTTTATCTACTTGCCATGATATATTTTTCTGTTGTGTGGTGATCGCTGTTGCTGTTTGGGTAGATATTTAGATTTGTTTTTCTATCTTATATTTGTTTCTAATTTTGACTAATCTATGCATTACAACATGAACGGAAAGAAAATAACAATAAGGTATGTATACATATGGATTGTATGTATGTAGATTAGAACAAAAACCAAAATGTAAGCTCAGGTTAAAAATATTGAAAAATTTACAGTGGACACCTTTTTGTTCCTATTACTTTTTTATGTACATTAATTAAAATTGAGAATAACAATTTGTGCAATTCGATATATGTATTTTTATTTTGAATATATTTTTTTGCATAGATTATTTATGCGGGTGGTATTCACGCGTTTATTGCTTAAAAGGATAGGTAAGAGAACTGGGGAAGTGTGCAAGTTCGGGTAAATGCCAGTAGTATTTTTAGAGCTTACGCGTGAATACCGTTTTTAAGCTACAAAACATTTGGATATAAGCAAGCGTAATGAAAATTATGTGTATTATATAATGCAAAAAACGTTGATGACAAAAGTATGTATTTAAAATAAGCGAACTTCTAATTGAGTCGAAACCAGCAGCGCTATCTAGTAGGCTGTCTTAAATTTTTTTATGCGGCAACACTCAGTAAAGATAATACATATTGCGTTTATCAGCTGAAAATTGTTTATCCAGTAAATATTTTATTGAAGGCTATCATATAATCGGATAATCAGACGGCTTTCAGGGCCCTGAGCGCTAAGGTGTTGCGCTCGAAACTAGTCGGGGAATGTCCGACCTCTATATCAACCACGTCGGAGTATTTTCTAATCAGGCTCATTTGGGTTCCGGGCCACAGTGACATTCCGTTAAACTACGTGGCTGATCACTTGGCAAGGAAGAGTACCCTTGAAACGTTATCACCGCATGGGGAGCAGCCGCGAACGCCTCTCCTCCTGCGGTTCACTCTTGGACAGCTGGGCCTCATGTAAGCTCAGCAATCGCTGGTAAAATACTGGGACACACGCCATTGCATGATCCTTCCGTTCTGGGGTGAGCCGGGCGTGATCATGGGAGGTTATTATTCTTACCTCGGCTCCCGCTGTTGCTGGGAGTTCTGACAGGCCATTGTGCGATTTGGACAAACACTGCAAGGTTAATACCTCCTGTATCTGCTGTCAAGAGGATGACGAGGGGGAATCATCTCAACACTTTCTATTCGACTGTCTAGCTTTCGTGAGGCTAAGATGGCAACATTTTCTTTCACTTCCTGGTGGAGCTGTTTGGCATTGCAATTCGTGGTATTGCAGAGGACAATCTCTTATGTGCGCCACTACATCCCATGTCTGGGACAATCTCTATAACCTAATCTAACATAAGCAAAAGCAGTATGGCACGGGAAGCTAAGTATGTACATATGTAATTCATCGAATCTGCGAATTTGGTTCGTTTTTGTAAAGAATTTGCTATTTTTCATCAGTAGTATAAATTATCGTAATTACAAAAGTTTGGTTAGGTTAGCTGCATTTAGCGAATTAGAAACGTCCATAGTGATTTCAAGATATTATAAGGAGACATGGATTTCAAATTATATTAGAAATATGGCTTTACTTGAGGATATACTTAGTAAATGGTGTATCTGTTGATTTGCTGCTATGCTCAAGGATAGAGCGCAAGCCTTAAGCGTAAAGTTCCACAAAATGTGTTTCAGACGTATACCAAATTTCAGGCTTTCCGAATTTTACTCAGCTATAAGTTTTATATTTTGGGCGGGTTCGCTGAGACATATCGACCGAAGCCTTCATATGGGGTTCTATTCTAAGTACCGAGGCGAAGTAGAAATCGCAGCTCATAATGTAATAAAGAATCAATAATGGTTCCAATATTCAGCAGTATATAAATAAAAATAAAGTTTATGTCCACATAAAATTTTATACATATCGCATTAAATTTTTTCCAACAGTTCTTGTATAATCAAATTTTAGTTATAGTTATTTAACCATGTATGTGTATATTTGACCCGAATACCATTAAGAAAATACTTTACAAATACCAGATTCATAAATAGAATTGTGTTTAATTGCTACTCTTTTAATAGTACAGTAACTATGCTAAAAACAAAAACCATTAATACCTCTTTCAACTGATGATCCAAAATTCTTATTTGACCCTCAAAAGTTTCCTCTTTTTGCGTGGCCTACAAATCGCAATTTTACGACATATTTTGATGATCGTACAGCGAAATTAAATGGCCAACAAAAAGAACAATCCCGTTGTTCAAACGACCGAACACAAAAGGGTGTAATAAAAATGTAAAAGAAAGATACCGCCAATAGGAGACATTAATTGTAGATAATAACGCGGAAAAGCATTTCGATGTGTTCGGCAGTGGCGACAGGTGGCATGTAATATAATTTTAGTTTTATTGTTTTTTTTTTGCATATCCATGATGAAGTCAAACAAATAGTGATGTTGATTGGTTGCATTGGAGCATTTTAGATTTTAGATTAGTAGGTGGGCGTTTGACGGTAATGTTTTTTTAGTGTTGCAAAATTAATAATATGTGTAAAAGAACAACACAAAATCGTATACATGCAAGCAATAGTTGGTTGGATTTCACATTTTATGTTGTTGTTATTGTTTAGTATTAGTTAATTGCGGTGGTGATAGCGGTTGTTGACATTTCATTGATTGTTGTTGATATTGGCGTTTTCCATTTGTTGTTGTGGTTGTAATTGGCAGCAGTTTGAATTTTGATTTCGTCGTGGAATGCGGTGCAATAATCATTTTTTAAGCATGATGCAACAACAACAAGGTTAAATTCAACAACAAGCGAGGGAGCAGTGAACAGCAACAAATAAAACATGAAAATAAACGAAAAAAGAGGTGAATATATATACATATACTATATTAGCGGGTTAGTTATTTGTATTTTTTTAATTATACAATAATTAAAATTAAAACAAGCAAAAAGATAAATATAAATAAAAATGCATAAGCGATTTTTTTTTAATTAAATCGGTAGATATTTTATACGTATGCACTGCAAAAATATATGCAAATAATTTATATATTTTTAACATGGTTAGTAGCTATAAAAAATGTGTATATATTTATTCACATAAAAATACATATACAAAAAATAACATAAGTCACATAAGATAGGTTAGTGCATAGTTTGTAAAATAAAAAAAAAGAGAACAACGCAGAGCAGAAGAGCCAACAGGGCAGCGCGATTTTTATATTTTCTCAGTGCGGTTTTTTCATAACTACGAAAAAGGCGCTTGTGACGAGCAGAATTGCAGACCAAACACTCCAATGCGTTTGCAAGTTTGTTTGCTTTTGCATAGAGAACGTAAAATGAAATTTCGAAGCTTACAGGCAACTATTCCTGGATACAAACATTTTTAAAAGTGCTTAATCTTTGCCCCATAAGTACGCAAATGGCATTTTGCTCAGCTGTCAAGTGNCTGAAATTTCGAAGCTTACAGGCAACTATTCCTGGATACAAACATTTTTAAAAGTGCTTAGGGCGGAGCTCTAAAAATCTTTGCCCCATAAGTACGCAAATGGCATTTTGCTCAGCTGTCAAGTGCATTGCTGGTACATTATGAATGCCCGCGCTCGTGTAAAATTAACGCTGTTTGTGGCATAGCTAAAGAACTCATTAGCAGAAATTCTTTACTTTTTCAATCACTGCAGTAAGGGTCCATTTTTTAGTCGATTCGCAAAATTGGTTTTTTGCTTTTTTTAAGCTGCTTCTCTACTATACCTCCTTTAGACGGGTGTTCAGGGTCTTGATTTGGTTCTTGTATTCTTCCTCGCGTTGGTTGGCCTTTATGTAGTTAAAACCGCGCATTTGTTGTAGTCGATTTTTATTTGGCAAAAAACCAAGGGTTCGTTAACCATTTTTGATGACATTTCGTAAAAAATATATGGAAAGTTTTTATTTCAAAAATTAAATAAGATGAGTATATAACGCTACTGTCTACCTAAAATATATGTAATGCTACTGAATGTTTCAAAAAGTTTTTGATGTAAATATATTAAATACTTGCATACTTATATCAGAAGTAAACAATATGTAGTAATTTAATAGAAAAACAATCAATTTAAATAATTACTTAGAAGAAATGTGGTAGTGTAACTCTGAAAGTTGCGTTGAGAGTAATGCCGTATTTCCACTAGGCAATGAAATCACAAAAATTTGTGCCATTTAAATGTTCACACCTGCCTGGTTATCTGGATATGTGGTAATACTTTTTATTCAATTTACAAGAACAAAATGCACTAAAGAATAAAACACGTAAATGCCTCGTAACCATGTAAACCTCGCAAACTTACTTAATTTTGTAAGAAAAATCGAATTATTTACGAGGTTTGCGCGTTTCGAAGAATACCTTAAATAATTTTTTAACCAGAAAACCTGATGACCTAGCAAGTGTGAACACCCACAATTATTTTTTCGTGTCCATGGGAAGGGGGGTATTTTTGACATTTCGATTGATGCCGATTGGAAGTCCGGCGGATGCTCGGATGTAACTTTGTTTACATTGTATTTTTACGCTGCTTTTAATATTTTAATTGCTTATTATAACAATATATATCGCCAGTATAATCAAAATACACATGACTTTCAGAATTATGTACATATACACATTGCTTATAATATATATTTTTAATAAAATTACAAAGATTTTAAAACAATTTAGATAAACTAAACTAAAATATATATGTATATTAAAAATAATACTTTTCTTCAATATTCATACAAAAATTATGCATACTGACCTTCTCTTCTGAAACTTCAAGGGATTTCAAGTTGTTACCGACAACGCGGAGTTCTTCCTCAAGTTCCACAATTTTGCTATTAGATGAAAAGTTTTTGAAAGAAGTAAAACAATTAATAACAAAATCTAATTGAGTGCATATAATAACAGAAATTCGTAGAAAATTTGAAGCCAAACTCTGCAGTACAATCACTATTCAAAGTGAAATAGATTGTTATGCAAATTATGATGTTTGAATATTTTCGACAGTTAAAAAATTAACCGAGTGCAAATAAAGAAATTAAAAATTTGCTGCCATCGACTTCGCTGTTTTGTTTTTTTTTTTTTTTTTCCCGCGGCAAGCCAAAGTCAATAGATTGCACACACAAAGACGCTAAAAAATGGTGTCAACAAATCAAATTCCTTATGCTGGTAAAAAAGGGGCAAACAAATTTGCCAATAAATATACAAGAAATATTGGGAAAAAATGTCACAGATAAACGTGGGGAATTTATTTTTTAATTTATTTTTATTTTTTTCGTTGAAAGCCAGTAGACTATAAAACAAATAAAAATTGGAGTTAAAGTCGCGCATTGTAAGTGGTTACCAAAAAAATGCAAAGCCAAGTGTCACTTGAATTATGGTTTCTTTTTGCGGACGTGAATTGTTTTTGTTTGCTTGGTGGCAGTCACTTTCAAATCCACCAGCACCAAAAAAAAAATTAAATAAATAACAACGAAAAACTGAGATTGATTGCAAAAGCAAAATGCAGAGAAAAAAATCGGATTCAAATGACTGGCAACTCTACAGGAATCAACGAATCATCAACAAATGCCGATGTATGTGTGTGGGCACAGGTAAATATTGAAAGTACGTTAACGGCTGATACTCTATGGACCTTTAAGCTTTAAGTTGGCGTTTCACCATTTTTCGTTCGGCCGTGTAAAAATAAGTGATTTCACTTTCAAAAATGCAAAAAATAAACGAAATTGAATAAATAAATGTGTTAAAAAATCACTGCAACGACGACGGCGCTACGCCAAAGTGTCAAAAAAAAGATGATTTCAATAGAAGTACCAGTTAAAAGTTGCTGCTTGTTAGCGGCAGGAATTACTTTTACTGCTGCTCTTATAGATGCACATATGTGCATACCAACATATGATGAACACAAGAAAATAAAAAAAAATATTGGTAAGCACAAAAAAATATCTTTCAAATGCACTGCGAATATATGTAAGCAAATGCGCGACAAAACCAATTTTTCGCCAAATACGTGACTGCGTCGAAGGAACTGATTTAAAGGGAAGAAAAACGAGTCGATCTTTGTGCAGCAAAATGTCAACACTGAATGAATTATTATTGCTATTAGTTGGTATTAAAACCTTAAAAAATGGAATTAAAACAGACATTGTGATGAAATTCGTACTAAATTGTTTACCATATGTCAGTTTTAGAGACGTAATTATGAGATACATGCGCATACTTGACCACAACTTTGAAATTGGCTTCAAAAATCTTAAAATTTCTATAACAATAAATATGTATGTAAATTTGTATGTATTTTTTTTTGTATTTCTAATAATAAGTTAGTTAAAACAAATTGCATAACACACAAAACGTTTTGAAGCAGCACAAACCTTTCGCTAAGCTCAACTTTTTCCTCGGAACGTTCCAGATCCTGTTCCATAAGGACTAACTTTCTGGCAACCTTTGTTTTTCAACAAGTATTTCCAGTTCCGGTTTGTGAGCGCCACAGAGCGGCGAAACAGCATACAAAGGACACACACACGCAAGGCAGGACAAGCACAGGGCAACGAGCGAACGGTGGTGGTGTCAGTGTCAGAAAGGCAACACAGCAGCAGGCGAGCGAGCGAGTGTAGTGTTAATGTTGTTTTGTTTTGTTTTTTTTTTTTTTTTGCAGCGTTTCGGAACGATTTTTAATATTCAGTTGGTTAGCATTTAGCGGTAATCATACACATAAAGAGCGGTTTCAAATGGAGGAAAAATTGACAAAAAAATTCCATTAGTTGCTTAAATATGTGAAATTGTTTTTTGGTGTATTTTAATGACACATGAATGTGAAAAAATGTGAATTTATGCAAGAAAAAAATGTAAATGTACGCCTATGGACCTATGGCTTACTAGATAAATGTATTACTATTAATTTAAAAAAAAAANAATGGATTTTGCGTGATTGTGACATTTCTATTTGTACATACAAACATACAATTTGCTTTGCTGGTATACAAATAGGCGCATGCATTGTAAAGTTTGCATAAAATTTGTTTATTATTCACATTTTTCCAATTCATCGTCTACTATTATTTCACTCTAACTAGCTAGCTAATCTTGCATATTCAGGCAAATGAATGTACATATGGACATACATATCACTAGCTTAGTGCTAAAAGTTGCTAAATCCACTTTTTGTGAAAACTCATACATATTTTGATATAGAAGGAGAAAATGGCTATGAGAACTTTTTTCGTCAAATTTGTTACGATGGGCTTAGCAACTTTTGCGCTAAGCTAGCGATATGTATGTATATTTTTTGTAAATATTGTAAAATAAAAAACAAAACTTGAAACAGTAACAAAGAAGAAATAAAAATTGCAAAGTTTTTAGGTTAGGTTGCTTGCTTGCAGTTTCGTAAGTTAGTCGGGTCAGCCGGGCACAAAATAAAAAATTTTCATCGCTTAAAGCTAAACAAGATTTTTTTATTTTTTTTTTGTTTAATTTGCTGCAATTTGCAGCTGCGCAATTTTAATTATTTATGATAGGAAGAAAACAAAAGCAACAACAACAATTATGTTAGTGCTCCCATTTTATTTTTTGTGTATATTGATGACAGTGGAGCAAAACTGCATTCATTCATGTAGAAAAAACGTACTTCTCTCCTTGCTCGGCGCGTTCCTCGGCACGTTCCAAATCAGCTTCAACCATGGCCAATTTACGGGCAACCTTTTGGATGTTTCACGCATTTGTAGTTCGTATTGTGTGTTGTTCGTTGTACAATAGTACATAGAGTTTTACATTTACATAAGTTTGTGTTGTAAAAATTGTAGTTGAACAATTCGAGGAAAATCGAGATACAAAAAATATACATAAATCAGTACATAAGTAGGATATATTTTGTTTATTTTATAAGCGGATTTTTTTTGTTTTTGTTGCGTAGGAAATGCAGCGCAAACAGCAAAACACAGATGAACAAACAGGCAAGTACAGGCAGGCTTTAACAAACACAAGTCCGGTTCAAGTCGAAAGTGGTTGTTTCTTAAATAAAACTCTGATAGTCTTTGAGTTGTTAGTTATGCTAGATTTTTGTGGTTAGCATACGATGATATTTTATAAATATAAAACTTTTATAATAAAACCTGTGCGCTACGATTTTTGTGTCCTAATTTGTCATATTCATTACATGTTCATAAATGCTATTGCTGAGCAAGATTGCATTGTTCCTTCGCGGTGTAAAGATATCTTATGGTTTTTGTACGTTTATCCTAATATTTCTGTTTAAAGTTGCAAAACGATAGCTACTTCGTTCAGAGATTTAATAAATCATTTGCCAAAAATGAAGCACTTTTGCGAGACTTTCTTAACCCTAATTTTCTTAAAACTGATCTAATATTGATACTTTCCTTCAGTGCTTACAAAAGTGAATCGTTTTCTCGTTCAATAAGTGAGTGTATAGTTTTTAGTCGCACAACTGTTTGTCTGTAGAACTTTTCACAGTCGCTTTTTGAACGAAATTCGACATCCACAATACCACGGAAAAGCGATAAGTAATGGAATAATAATAATACTACTAGTCGGCACTCACAAAAGAGGTGTTGGGCCCAGCTCAGGACCTCTTATGACATCCCATTGGGCTTTACAATTTCTTATCTACATAGATGTATGTATGATTTAAAAGCAATCGCAACCCTGCGTACATTTCAGCAGTTCGTCGATTTTCATAGACCTTCTATATTTTCGATGAACTGCGCGCCAAGAGAGACAAAACATTTGATGCTAACCGTTTTAGTAGCTGAAATTTCTTTTTTATAGTTCCGCTGCGGCTGAGTGGTTAGAGGTGCATACTACCACTCCATAGGTGCAGGGGTTTTCATTGAATATAATAGCCTAAAATTATCGTTTCGTGTACCAGACTATTTACGGAAATGAGGCGCAGTGGACGAACTAGCAAGGTGCTAAACGCTTATTAACAAGTAGGAATGTCTCAATGACATAAAGTTTTCGATCTGAAATGCGATCAGACTGTACAATCTTCAAAACTCTGGCCTAAGGCAAACTTCCCGCAACAGGCAAATGAAAGATGCGATTCACAGCTAGCTACTGTTTTATTTAGATAGATATGTAGATATTGAAATGAGGTATGCACAACGACATAGTGGTCTATTGTACACTCTCCTCTTCACAATGATTCCTGAAAGCCTAAATTCCTCAAGAACAGCAGCAGTGCCTTCGGGGGTAGGGAGTGAATGGAATGTGCTCAAGCTTTGGCCACATCGAGCTTAGTCTTCTCTCACGTCCTCTGCAAATCCAGCACACTCGATAAGAATATGTACTGGTGTCTCCTCTGTTGATTCGCAGAACCTACATATGTAGGTCATTGGACTATATTCGTAGCATATACAGATGCCCACTTTGTCTGCAGTGTCCTGTAAAGATACCTGTGAGTATTCTAAATTTCCCCTTTGGGAGGTTAATCAGGTTTGGAATCCCAGTAGACTATTTTTCCTGGCGCAGTCCTTTTGAGCCACGCCAATTTAGGCCCCTTAGTGCGTTCCTCTCCTTACTGAGCTCTTCCCTAGGAGTTTCGGGTCCAACTGTAGTGATACCTGCCGCCTTTTTCGCGAGACAGTCCGCCGTCTCATTACGCTCTATTCCCCTATGGTACCCATGCCAATTCTATGTTGTTTTGCATATCAAGGGAATTAATTTTCTCGTTGCACTCAAGGACCAGCGATAATCTGATTTCATATGAAAATAGAGCCTTGAGCGCTGCCTGGCTATCGCTTAAGATTATGATTCTCTCGTTTCGGTGTATGGATGGAGGATGTATCATTAGCTCCGCATACATAAAAATTGCGTAAACCTCCGCCTGAAGAATGCTCGGATATTTCCCCATAGAAACAGAGACGCATTACAGCAGAATTCAAATAAGGGAAATTTTCCGCAATGTCGTGGCGGCAAAAGGATTCAAGCGTCGAAACTCTGCCATTGACATGCACCCCTCGAGAGGCGAGGCAACGTTGTTTCCAACACGGCCTGATTCACGACATTCATTCGTGATCGAAGTATAAATAAAACAGTTTCCATTTTATTTGATTGGATTCGAAACGAGTCGATCGCCATTGCCGTGGTTCGAGTAGAGAACTTTTGTGAGTGCCTGAAAGAGCTGAGTTTAACAAAAACCCCGTGCGTAACCCGAACGACAACAACTGTCCCTTTCGCAACATTTTTCAAAACTTGTTGGGGAATGTTTATACAGTCACAACAACAACAAACATCAGAGATCTCCCATCATTTATTAAATAATCGCATCGGATTAAGTTTTAAGTTCAAGTAGCCGACTTGCATTTTCGTATGTTGTTGTTGTTGTTCTTGTTGTAGCGGCTACTAAGCCCTGTTCGGGGCGGTTCATCCATCAACGTTGTCGTCAATTTCAGCTAGGGGGAGGCCCAGGAAGTGTGCGACTTCCACAGGGGCTGTCCATAGAGACAGGGGCGTTAGCTGAGTGGGGTTCTCAGGGCATGTGAAGAGGTGCCGGGAGTCATGTGGCGACTCTCCACATGCCGGGCATTGGTTGGGCACATCCTCGTTGATTCTACTCAAGTAAGAGTTGAGCCTGCTGCAATAGCCAGAGCGAGGTTGGGCTATTGTAGTGCGGGTCTCCCGAGGCAGATAAAGTTCTGTCCCGTCCACGTCCGGTGGTTGCGTGCCTAGAACGGTATTCACAGTGCGGGAGTCTACATAACTTGAGACTGATTACCTGTGAATGCCGTTCAGGGCTGTCGGTAGGTTGACAAGCCCAGAGGTTGTTTGATAAACCTCTGGACTTCGTCCGTCAGTTCGTAAAGATGCCTCCTGTAGTGCCGTGGCGAGCGTTTTCCGCGAGCAGCTGTCCGCTGGGATGGCCACGTCTGTGGCTCCCAGCAAGGAACTGCTTGCAGAGCATTATATTATGCTCCTTTACTGGAAGCATCTGGGCCTCGTCATGTAGGTGGTGTTGGGGCATCATCAGGAGGCATCCTGTCGCTGTTCGTAATGCCCTGTTTTGGCAGGTCTGTAGCTTCATCCACTGCGTCCTGCTAGTCATCGGCGACCATACGGGCGCTGTATAGCTTAGAACAGGCCGGCCAATTGCCTTGTATGTTTCCAACAACGTTTCTTTATCTTTGCCCCCAAGTGCTGCCGGCCAGAAACTTGAGGACATTGTTGCGGCTCTGTACTTTGTTGATAATTGCGGTTGTATGCGCCGAGAAGGAGAGCAGACTGTCGAAGGTAACTCTGAGGATTTTCGCGTTAATCACCGTCGGTATTGTTACGCCAACGACGTGAATACTCAGTTGCAGTCTGACCTCCTTCGTCCAGGTGGTGAAAAGTGTTGCCGAGGATTTCGCAGGGTATAGGGCAAGGCTTCTTGCAGTGAAAAAGCGAGAAAGTTCGAGGTTACCGTTTACTTTCGAGCACAAGTCATCAATTCCATTCCCAGACGCGATGATCGAACAATCGTCAGCATAGGAGACTATATTAGCGCCCTCTTGGGGCTGAGGAAGCTTTGAGATGTAACAATTAAACAGTAGCGGGGACAGGACACCTCCCTGTGGTACCCCCTGTTTAATTTTACGTGGCTTGCTAGGTTTGTCTCTGAAAATTACTGGCGAGTGTCGACCACTCAGGTAATTCGCCGACCACCGTTTGAGTCCCTGTGGGAGTGAGGAGGCCTCTATATCTTCTAGTAGTGTTGAATGACTGACAGTGTCGAACGACTTGGATAGGTCCAACGCTACTAGAATAGTTCTCTCACAGGGGCGGTTTAGGTTTAGGCCACGAGTTATCTGAGTCTTTATGGCGTTAAGTGCTGTTGTTGTGCTATGCACTTTACGGAACCCATGTTGATGCTTCGCTGGGGTCAGCTGGTTCGTAAAGTACGGGAGCAGCAGGGCCTCGAGTGTCTTCGCTACCGGGGAAAGGAGAGTTATCGGGCGATAAGACTCTCCTTTGTTGGCTGGTTTCCCCGGTTTGAGCAGTGGGACCACTCTCCCCATTTTCCAGATGTCTGGAATGACGAGAGTGGCCATAGACAGGTTGAGGACC